CCGAGGTAGGTGCAGAGGAGCATGCGCCGCGGTCTTCGCAGCCGAAGTGGGCACGGAGGAGCACGCCATGGTCGGCGGAGCCGAGGTGGATCGAAGGGTACGCCACGGTCGGAGAAGCGGAGCGACACGCCATGGTCGACGCAGCCGAAGTGGGCGCGGAGGAGAACGCCATGGTTGGCGCAGCCGAGGCGGACGCGGTGGGGCGCGCCATGGTCAGTGAAGCTAAGGCGGGCGCGGAGGAGTGCGCCGTGGTTGGCGCAGCCGAGGCGGACGCGGTGGGGCACGCCATGGTCGGCGAACCCGAGGCGGGCGCGGAGGGGCACGCCGCGGTCGGAGTAGCGGAGAACCAATATGGACGTGAACAGCAGGCTCCGCTTCCTTACGCACTAGGAAAACACCACGAGCATGACGCCCGAGGCGAGGACGCCAGAGTAGGCGATGGAGAGCAGGCGGATGCCGAGGTTGAGGCGCCACAGCGCGGCGTCGCAGTCGGTATCCGTCGTCACGACGCCCGGCGGCGGGTGGTGCGCAGAGGAGACAGCGGCGGCGCACCTTGCGGTCGTGGACGCGGCCGCTGGTGCCCACGGAAACCCACGAGATCGAGACGCGCACGCTCTTCATGGTCGTCGCGAATGCGGAGGGAGGCACGGGCACGGGCATGTCCTAGGCGGAGGAGCAGGTGGAGAAGACCGCTGAGGCGGGGATGCCCTCGATGACCACGGGGCTGCACTCGACGAGCTTCTGGCTGGAGTCGAGTGGCGCGTGGGGGTCGTTGGAGGTGAGGCCGCTCTCGACGCGGATCTGGTCGGAGGCGATGGAGTCGTCGTGGTACGGGGTGGACAGCTGAACCGTCGGCGGCAACGGCATGGTAGCGATGGCGGTGGAGGCTGGCCCGTTGAAGGACTGTCGGAGCCCTTCAAACTGAGACTCCAACTCCTTGCGCATTGCGCGAATCTCGGCCAGGAGCAACTGGTAGTCGAGAGGACCCATGGAGCAGTGGTGGTGGATTTCGTGGTGCTGCAGGATTTGGCTCCGAGTACCAATTTGTTAGCAACCCACTGGTAGAACACGATCTCAGGTAACCGATACATTAAGGAATGGAGTTCAGGGGAGCAGCAAGGGGAATCGGAGAGGAAGAGGAGCAGGGGGCCGGTAAAGAGGAAGAGGAGGTTGGGGGAAGAGGAACAGTAGCTAGAAGAAGAGAGGATGAGTTGTATTATGAATATTCGATGCCCTGCGGAAGGTACTCCTGGTTCCTTTTGTAGCTGATGCTCCGGACAGCCTGCGTGTAGGCTCACATGGTAGCGTCCCTGACAAGAAGCAGCTGCGGTTGTGCGAGCGGGAGGGAAGGGCGGGCAATAGAAGGCCGCAGGACGAGCTGCCGGCTCGGCGCCAGTATGTATGGCGCCAAACTCGGCGTCAAGATTCACGGCGCCAAGCTGGCTGTCATGTCATCTTCGGCTCTACTTTGATGCCAACGTAGCCCTCTGACCTAGGCGTCAAACCCTTTGACGCTGTCTCGGCGTCACCAACGATGGCGCCGAGCTAAGGGTCTAAATTTTGAAAACATACCTCCAGGAACATATTTATGAAAAACTTAAAAAAAAGGCCAAAATATAAAAAATATGGGCTTGGCGACCTCTGCACGAAAGGAAGCCGTGAAGGCTGCGGGGCCGGAACCGGACGCGCAGGAGCACTGTATCAGTGAATCACTTCAATACGTTGTCACGCTTTTGCCGTCTCCCTCTCGCCGTTGGGACTTGGGACGCCAGGCACCACGCAGGCACGCACTACCGCCCGTAGGTCTATAGGGACACGCACTTGCTAGACCAAATGGATCGGGTCCATTTAGGCCCCGTTTGGCCGGGCTCTGGGCAGCTCCGGCTTCTGCTGTCGAATCATTGCAGCTGCACTATTCATTGAAGCCATTTTTCTCTCTCCTCATTTCCTCTCTCACTGACGCCACCGGAGCCGGAGAAGCTCTCTTTTTTTTTGGCTCCCGTGGCTCCACCTACAGTGTCGCTACAATGTAGGGGCCCGAGCACGCAGGAGCCCGGCCAAACGGGCCTTATTAACGACCCTAGGCAACCGTTGGATGTTTTTGATGGCCGTCTATACTATGTTGAATGTAGCTGATGAAAAATCTATTTATGAAATCAGCCCCCCACTCACCCGCGGAATTGCTTATGTCAACCAGGCATATCTCGGCAGGCCATCGTGCATAGTAAGATCGTGCTCACGAGGATTCAACTAATAATAATTTTAATTTTATTAGTTTTTATAAAAAATAATATCAACATTTGTATCTCGAAATAGGTTTGCTATCAAAATATATAACGTGAACGAACTGATGTTGCTTATCTGGTATTATAAATATTAGTTTTTTTATATATATTTGGTGAGAGTTAAAAATTATTTGACTTGTCAGAATGCCCATACCTTTTTTTTTTCTTCAGACATCACTTCATACATTGCAGCAATCGATGCCAATTTCTCTCGGGTGCCTAGCAATTAACAAAGAATATTTTCTTGTATTAGGTGAGAGAAGAGTAGGTTTTGACGTTAGATGAAAGATGCCAATTTCTCTCGCTTGCCTAGCAATTAAAGAAGAATATTTTCTTGTATCCAATGAGAGAAGAGAAGGTTTTGATATTATATGAAAGCGAATACTTTCTCGGTTTCAAAAAAAGGGTTATTCTCGTATGCTTATGACGGGACGACCAACACTGAGTGCCCCCGCAAAGGACATTCCATAGATCGAAGCATTTTCGTTCTTTTTGGCGGATGAAAGGAAACAGACTTGGAACCATGCATGCATTGATGCATTTGCATTTGTATTTTACCTCCCAATTACTACCACGCTCATGCTACAGCCTACTCCAGGAGAACACTGGATATACGCACATTCATATGCACGTTCTGAGTTCTGTAATAACTCTGCTAGCAGCTATATATCGGAACACTGGATACGGCAAGCGACACGCGTGTTTGCTCTTCTGGTGAGTACAACTATAAACAGAAACCTACTGTACGTCAAAACTGGGACAGCGACGGGTTAGCGACGCTGGAATCGGCAAAGCATAGCAAGGCTTGGGAAGGGGAAGGAGTGCAGCAGCAGAACTTGGATGGATTCCGTCTTGAATTGGACACCAATGCTCTCAGCGGAAATAAGCAGACTCGTCAAAGTCTGCTCTGACGAATCTGAGTACCTGACCGCGCTCACACCCCGCTCTCAGTCTCTCAGCTCAGCTACTGAGCTACTACTCTGTGCTCCATCGGCCCATAAATAACTGTCGCTGTCAGTATACGGGCTGCAAGTTTAACTTAATTTGTAGAAAATATATGCAATATTTATATCTTCAAATAAATTTATTAAAAAAATTAGATTCAAAGATTTTTTCAATGATACTAATTATTTACCATAAATATTTATAATTTTTAATATATATTTAATCAAAGTTGTTTATCGAAAAACGAAAACGATAGATATTTAGCGACGGAGAGAGCAGAGTACTACTCAGCATTCAGCTAGTCTGTTCGTCTCATAATAAATGAGATTATGAGAGATGATGCTATGTCCATCCGTCTCACAAACAAAAAGGGACGAAAAACTCGTTTACGTAACGTATCCGGCGGTGAAGTACATGAGCAGGCGAACAAAGGGGACGATCCGGCGGCTTCGACGGCAGCGACCACGGGGCGGATGTGGCAACGGGCCGATCCAGAACACGCGACCACCCTTTCAAGCAACACTGGCCTCGACGAGCTCGGTGGCACTCGGATCTGAAGGGGGACCGCCATTGCAGGCAACGACGGCGTGGAGTGAGGACGGGGGCAAGGCGTCTACCGGTGCAGCTTGGACGGAACGACATCGGCGAGACGCGCGGGGTGGAGGGCGGAGCTCGCGGATGGCGGAGGGTGGTGACGGGAGATGGACAGAGGGCGGGCTGTGGGGGTGCAGGAGTAGGGAGGGGGGGAGGGCGGACGGCGGCGGAGGCGCGGGCACCGGATGCGAGCGGGCAAACCCTAGGAGCGCACGAGCTAATGGGAGAGGGAGAGTGAGAAGAGCGCCGCTTGCTGCTGTATAGGCCAGCCGAACGGTTGGGCTGAAAGGTCCAGCCCAAATCAGCCAAAATTTCTCCGGCCGAATGGGCCATAGTATACAAGAAACAAGAAGGGAAAATATAGTTTGATAGGGGTGTATTAGAAAAAAAGATGCGTTGAGAAATAAAAAACTCGACCTGTGAGGGGCAAGCCGCCCCCTGGGCATTATACGTAAAAAGAATGCCTTCTCACACAGGCCGAGAAAACCCCGAACCCTCGCCTCGGCCCGACACTGGGAGACGTAACCCATGAGATGGGCCGTCTCCTTTAAACCAGTGCTTCGGCACCTAGGGTTAGTTTGGAATGCGTGATTTTCTTTTTGTTCCTATGTTTTTCTTTTGAAATTGAACTGATTCAGGTGAAATTGAAATTCCTGTGAGTGGAGTACGCGTGTGTGCCAATGCATCTGCGATTACAGTATCTGGCTATCTGTAGATAGCGTCATGAGGCTTGAGGAGGCGCGGAGTCTCGTATGAGACGACAAAGCGATGCATGTGCGTGCTTCGGTGCTGCTGCTGCTGCTTGGATGCATCGTATCTGTCACGAGACCAGCAGGTAACCAAATAACTACCGGCGAACACGCGCGGCAAGGAGCTCGGCGGCGCCGTCTCCGGAGAAGAGGAACACGGGAGAAGAAGGTTTTGGTTTTAGTTTGCTTGTTCGCTGACCGCCCATCCACCCTCACAACGAGTCTTTTAACAGAGTTTACAAAACGAAATGGGCTAAGGCCCAGAGGATACATCCCTGCGGTAAACATACCGTCTTATGGGCCAATTCTAGCTAGTGTAGCTCAAGATCAAACGCACAGCATACAGGCCCAGTCGTGACATTCCCTCCCCCTCAAGGTGCACCGTGTCCTCACGGTGCAGTCGAGGTTGCAGACGGATGCCGGAGTATCAAATCAGATACCGTAGCAGCAGGCTCCCAGACCGCCCAATGAGTGGGGCAAGACTCCCTCTGCACCAAAACTGAAGGAACCACACGGTGACCAATCAAATTTAAACGTTGATCCAATACCTGAGTTGGAGGCAGTGTGTCCAGCATATGCAACAATTGAAGATCATCATCAGCAGATAGTGTAGCATTAGGAGGCAAAGCTTTCTTCAATTGGGAAACATGAAGGACTGGATGTATCTGACTCGAAGCTGGGAGCTAAAGCTTATAAGCCACCTTGCCAATAGTTTGAAGAATCAAATATGGCCCAAAGTAATTGAAGCTGAGCTTATGATTGGATCGGCGATTGACAGACTGTTGAATATGTGGTTGCAGTTTGACATAGACCCAATCACCGATAGCAAATGTTCTTTCCTAGCGATTTTTATCTGCCTGATTTTTCATCCGTTGTTGAGCCCGACTCAAATTATGCTTAATGTGCTGAAGCATAGTATTGCGAGATTTCATCCAGTCATCTAGATCTGGTACGGAGCAAGCATCATCAGGAGTGAGACCAAAATGCTTGGGAGGGTTACCATATAGTGCTTCGAAGGAGGTAAGACCATGAGCAGAGTGATAAGTGGTATTATACCAGAATTCGGCTAATGGAATCCATTGAGCCCATTTGTTAGGACAAGAGTGTACCATGCAGCGCAAGTATGTCTCAAGGCACTGATTCAAGCACTCGGTTTGGCCATCAGTTTGAGGATGATAGGCAAAGCTCATATTAAGAGTGGTGTCGGTGAGTTTGAAAAGCTCTTGCCATAAAGCGCTAGTGAATACCGTATCTCTATCTGATATAATGATGGAAGGTAGGCCATGCAATTTATAAATGTGGTTAATGAAGGCTTGAGCAACAGATAGAGCAGTATAGGGATGGGCCAAACAGATAAAATGAGCATACTTTGTGAGCTTATCAATAACAACTAGAATGGTATCAAAGGTTTTGGATTTGGGCAACCCTTCAATGAAATCAAGGCTAATTGTGTGCCAAGCATGTGTTGGAACAAGAAGGGGTTGGAGTAAGCCAGGTAAGCGACACTGTTCATGTTTGGCTTGGGCACATACCTCACAAGCGTTGATGTAGTCCTTCACATACTGTTTCATGTTCGGCCATGCAAAAAGTGCCCGGACTTTGTGATAAGTTGCCGTGATACCACTGTGGCCACCTAACCCACTGGAATGCAGGGCCAGCAAAACTGCTTTATGAGCCTCGGTATGACTACCCAGCCAAATCCGGCCTTTGAACTTTATAATTCCATCAATTAAAGTGAAACCCTTGTCATTAGAACCCATCAGAGTGAGTTCAGTGAGCAATTGCTTAGTATGATCATCTTGATTATACCCCTCCAATATGATTTCCAACCACCTAGGAGTACTGCTAGAAATTGCAGCCACAGTGTGAGGCTTGGTCTGTCGGGACAAGGCGTCAGCAGCCTTGTTTTCATTGCCTTTCTTGTAAGAGATTTTGTACTGAAGACCCAAGAGTTTGATGAAGGCCTTTTGTTGCAGTCCTTCATGTAATTTCTGCTCGCCAAGATGAACGAGGCTTTTGTGATCTGTTGATATTGTGAACTCCTTATGTTGGAGGTATGGCTTCCACTTAGAGACAGCCAGAATGAGCGCTACGTACTCCTTCTCGTATGTTGAAGTAGCTTGAGCCTTGGGTCCCAGTGCTTTGCTGATATATGCGATCGGGTGGTTGTCTTGAGAGAGCACAACCCCTATGCCACTAGCTGACGCATTGGTCTCCACTGTAAATGACTTGTTAAAATCAGGAAGGACCAATACGGGGCTGAGATCAGCGATTGTTTGAGATTGTCAAAGCAAAGTTGCAGTTGAGGTGTCCAGTGAAATAATGTATCCTTCTTTAACAAATCAGTCAAAGGACGGCTGAGAAGATCATTGTCGGTGCAGAAAGTGACAAACACGTAAATATTTGTAGTTTTGCCATACGTTGTGATAGGATGTGGTCTAGCACTCAATGACACAGGGTTTATACTAGTTCAAGCAACATGCCCTACATCCAGTCTGAGTTGATCGATGACTTTATTTCTGAGTCCAGGTGCTCGAAGTTTGCTGTGGGGTTACAAACGAGAAGGAGAAAGATGGGGGTACAAGAGGCCCGGTCGGACTCCGGTCTGAAGGGCCTAGAGTGACGAGAGCTCCTGCGTGCGCTGAATATTTGAGTGTGTGCTCGAGGTTTGAACCTGGTGGTTCTGTGGTTGTGTGTTGAATCAATAGCCCCCTATTGGGAGAGAGCGCGTCCCCTTTTATAGATGAAGGGGACGGCCTTACAAGAGAGAGAGAGAGAGTACGTACGCTACTAAGTCTTGTTGTCCACGCCATCGGGTACAAGATGATTGTAGGCGTCCACAATACTGTTGATATCAGACGCATGTGGGAGGTTTTTACCGTGTTCTCCATGTAGGGCAAATGATGGCGCCTACAACATTGTTGATGCCCAGAGGCATGTGGGGGGAGCCTTACCGTGTTTGTCTGGTATGGGAGTTGGTGGCGCCCACAACACTGTAGGGTAAATGTCGGCGCCCTCAACACTGCTTGGGTTCTGACATGCCTGGAAGGGTGCAGGGCACCCTTCTGACATGTCCTGTTGGTACTACAGGTGTATAGGGTACGGTCTTTGGTATTGCGGTTGACTTGAGTGTCCTGCTTTACCTGCTCTGCCCGTTACCTGGTCCTCACCGAGCGGGCGTCCTCGGTCAGTTGGTCCCAGTCGGAGAAGAGCTGCAAGTAGAGGTTCGGTGCTTTCCCAGTCGGAGAGGCGGGTCAGAGTTAGAAGCGAGCGTTGTTCCTCCTCTGTCGGGCCTCCCGGTCGGAGAGGCGGGCCGGAGTCGAAAGCGAGCGCCGTTCCTCCTTGGCCAGGCCTTCCGGTCAAAGATTGGATCGCCCTTCTGTCTTGTTGTTAGGTTTTTAGGCCGGCCCAGGAGCCGCGCGTCGTTCGCAACGTTGTCTGCTGGGCCAAGCTTTTGCTGGGAAGCAGTTCCATAAGGGACCCCGGGTTTATGAAACCGACAACCATAGTTCATTATAAACTTCCGGTAATATCCCAAAAGCCCCAGGAAACCACGCAACTGCTTGGTATTTATTGGTGTCGGCCAGTTGGCAACAACTTCTATTTTCTTAGGATCAGTAGCCACCCCATACACACTGATAATATGACCAAGGTATTCCAATTGCTGTTGAGCAATAGAACACTTAGATTTCTCCAACAGTAACTTGTGTTGATCCAGGATGGAAAGTACTTGTTGTAGGTGAGATAAGTGATCCTCCAAGGTTGGGCTATATATTAGGATATCATCCACAAAGACAAGCACAAATTTCCTGAGAAGTGACTGAAATATGGTGTTCATGAGAGATTGAAATGTGGCTGGTGCGTTTGTGAGTCCAAAGGGCATGACCCAAAATTCCCAATGCCCACTATGAGTTCTGAACGCTGTCATTGCTTCATCTTCTGGTGCCAGTCGAATTTGATGATACCCAGAGCGCATATCCAATTTAGTGAACCAGGCGGCTCCATGAAGTTCATCCAACAGTTCATCTACAACCGGCAGAGGGCATTTGTTTTTGTCCGTGATATTGTTGAGCTGTCTGTAATCCACACAGAAACACAAAGTACCATCCTTCTTCTTGACCAGGATCACCGGAGATGCAAACGGGCTTTGACTTGGTCGAATTATCCCATTTGTCAACATTTCTTTGATTTGGCGCTCAATCTCATCTTTCTGTGCAGGGGAATACCTATAAGGCTTGACGTTGACAAGTTTAACCCCAGGGAGAAGAGGTATTTGATGGTCCAATTCTCTGGTAGGTGGCAACGAATCTAGCTTTTGAAAGAGATGACTGTGCTGGTCTACCAATCTCTGAATCGACTCTAGAATAGTTTCTGAAGCTGTAGTAGACTCAGCTTGACAGAAATGGATCATTTGAGCACTGCCTCCTTTCCTCATCAACCCTTTTAGCTTGCACACCTTGACCTTAGGACAACTGCTTAGTTCATCTTTGACACCCTTGAGGCTGATTCTCTTGCCATCGTGTGTGAATCTCAAAAGCCTTCTCTTCCAATGGATCCACATGGGACTGTATTTTGCTAACCAATCCATGCCTAACACCAAATCATAGTAGGATAGAGGCAGTATTCTGGCATGAGTTGAGAAGGTATTGCCCTGAGACCACCAAGTGAAATTAGACACCATCTGATTACTCTGCATCTTGGCACCATTGGCCACAATAACCTGAATTGGAGCTACTGTACTAACTCGGCAGTTCAACTGAGCAGCAGTGCTATCACTGATGAATGTACCAGAACTCCCAGAATCAATGAGAATCAGAATTTCCCTGTCCTTGACTAACCCATGAAGCCTGATGGTTTTTGTGCCCTGGATGCCAACAGCTGCGCAATGCGACAATGAAAAGACTTCTTCATCACTTGAACTGTTAGAGGAGGATGGATCATCACATTCAGGAGCTTCAGTAGGCATGATTTCCAGAAGTTCCTCCAACACATGCAAGGAAATCTTGCTTGGACATTTATGGTTCTGCCCCCCACTTTTCACCACATTTCATACAGAGCCCTTGAGCGCGACGCTGAGCACGTAGAGTTGCCATTTCGGGGCTGCTTGGTTACCAGCCAGCGCCTGCCAGCGCCACGGAAGCTGCGCCACAGTTTGTGGCGAAGAAAATCTCCGCCACACTCGCCACGGAAAAGCGCGTAGAAAAAAGTGTGGCGGCATCGTGAACCAAACACTGTCTATGTGCTGTGGCTGCCATCATTGTGGCGTGGCGAAGGACGGCCGGCAACCAAACAGCCTCTTCATCTTCCCACTTGGGTTTGGTTGCTTCTGGAGGAATTGCCCCGAGCACACCAGGCTGAGGATTAGGTGTATACTTCCCAGAATACTTGCTGAAATCTTTGTGTGAACGACGGCTGAAAGTCTTTTGTTGAGCTTCGAGTACGTCAGCCTGCAATAATGCCAGAGACAGCGCCACATCAACAGTTCTCGTTTCATGTAACACAAGGGCAGCTCTAATCTCTGGTTGTAGGCCTTGCAAGAATTTGCTAACAAAGAATACGTCATCTAGGTGATTGTTATGGACCAGCACTCTATGCATAGCTAAGGTAAAGCGATCATAGTACTCTTGTACATCAGCAGTTTGTTTGATATTCAACAACTCTTGCATAGAATTTTGATAGAGATCCTTGCCAAACTTAGTTTCTACAGCAATGCATAACTCTACCCAGCTATTAACTCTATGTTGCGCCTCATATGTTTGCAACCATAATGAAGCGATGCCTTTAAAATGCAGAGTAGCAAAAGGGGCCCAACGGTGAAAGGAACATGGAACATATCAAAGTATTTTTCTACGTTTTCTTTCCAAACTCTAGGATGCGAGCCATCAAATTTGGGTAAATCAGCCTTGGATAGGCGAAATTCCTTAGGGTGGTGACCAGGACAGCATGGAATCATGGTATTGGACTCAGGAGTATGGGAGGTGGAAGCGATGAACTGACCATTGGCCAGTGGTTGAGGAAGGACGACGGCCTTTTCATCAGACCCCTGTGGTGGAGGTTGCACGCCGTGGTCAACAACGACCCGCACCTCTTCCTCGCGCTTCGGGGCCGTAGACGGAGCAGGTTTGGGATGTGCTTCCAACGCCTCGACGCGCGACGTGAGATCTTTGAGGTCCTTGCTGAGACCGGTGGCGAAGTTGTCGATGTCCGGACGCCAGCGATTGAAGGTCTCCATGAGTTGCAGCATGGATTTCATCTGCGCCGCAAGTGCGCCCATCTTCTCCTCGGCGGTGGCCATGCGAGTGGAAAGAGTAGGACCTCTCGCCAGCGGATCAGTGGAAGGTGGGGAAGGTGGTGGTGGAAATCGGAGGAGATGGTCAGAATATGGATTGTGGTGGCGGAATCGAATTCAATCGAACACCGGCTAGATCCAACCACAGAGTTCAGAGCGGGATTTTACGGATCGAGGAACGAGAGTGGATATGGACCAGCTGCTGATACCAAATGTCACGAGACCAGCGGGTAACCAGATAACTACCGGCGAACACGCGCGGCAAGGAGCTCGGCGGCGCCGTCTCCGGAGAAGAGGAACACGGGAGAAGAAGGTTTAGGTTTTAGTTTGTTTGTTCGCTGACCGCCCATCCACCCTCACAGCGTGTCTTTTAACAGAGTTTACAAAACGAAATGGGCTAAGGCCTAGAGGATACATCCCGGCGGTAAACATACCATCTTATGGGCCGATTGTATTGTAGCTAGTGTGGCTCAAGATCAGACGCACAGCATACATGCCCAGTCGTGACAGTATCCTTCGTAGGAGTACAGAGCAGGCTGTACAGACTGAGAGAACGCATAGTTTGTTCTCCTCTACTGTACGGAGTACCTACAGTAGTCGTCTGTGGGCGTTACAGAGCAGCTCAGAGAAGGGGAATGATTTCGTTTCTGAACGTCGTGGTTGTCGAGTCACCACTCACAAGTGCCAGGCGCTGTCGTCACTGGATATGAAAGAAAGATCGAGACTGCAGGTGGGTACAGTACGATACCTCGCTTGGCCTTAAAAATACTGTAGATAGCTGAGTTTCGTGGCGAGAGAAAAATACTGTAAATTCTAGTTGATAAGCCGGCTGATAAGTTTAAAGAAACAGGGCCAACAGGCTATCATCATTGCTCTAGCCTCTAGGCAATGACAAAACGCTGCCCGGATGACACTCATGCAAGGTATACACTATTACTATTATCGTATATGTATACTACTACTACTACCGCTTACGAATTCGTATCTGTCACAGCACGAGCAAAGTGCCATCGCCCATCGACCACGGTCCACCTATTTGTCTTTTTTTTTAGAACATGCTTATGCGCGTATTTCATTAAGAAGATAAGAGTTTCGAAAACGAGGTAACAGAAACTTGGTAACAAAAAACGTTATCAAGCCATATAGTACTACTGGATTCAAAGGTAAGACGCTACATTGTTATAAAGAGATAGCTACCAGCACAGCGGCGCTCAAGCTGAAGCACGCGCGAGCAGCCTAGAGAGGTGGGCGTTCGCGGCCGCACACCACCTCTCCGCTTCCTCCTTGATCAACATGGCCAGCCTTGGCGGCGAGGTTGCACCAGCCTGGAACGTCCTATGGTTCCGCTCCTTCCACAAGCTCCACCCAAGCAAAGAAAAAGCGAAGAGTCGAACCCCTCACGAAAAGAACTTCGACGAGCTTTACATGTGCCAATCCACCACTCCATGGCCCGAGCTCCCCAAAGAGCCATCCAGTTGATGTGTACTCTTGACAAGCGATGAGCCACACTTCTCTACTAAAACCGCAACCCAAAATGATATGGTCTAGGGTCTCGGGCTCTTGATCGCAGAAAAATGCAAAGGTTTGAGTCTTGCAAACCATGGCGAAGCAAAGCGATCCCCGGTCCAACAATGGTTGTGCATGGCTAGCCAAGAAAAGAAGTGAACTCTTGGCGGGCGGTGTGTTTTCTAGATGAACTTTGCACCAAAGACCGTGGAGGATCCAAAGAACATTGCTCCATAAGTCGAGGCGAAGAGAACCTTTGGTCCGGCGAGGCGTCCAATGAACGTGTCGGCTCCAGCGATAGTCACACTCTCCTCCAGAGGTCGCAGAGATCGTGATATGTCCAAAGACATCTGCATAGAAGTAGGCCCCGGATGTGGCGCACTGAGCATTTCGGGCGGGGCCTCCGCCACCGCACCGTTCGCCGTCGACGCCTCCTCCCAATCTGCAAAGAATGCAGAGGGTGCCTCGCGCTCTAGGTCTGCTATCATTGAGCCAACGATCCGTCCAGAAGAACGTGGATCGGCCGTTCCCCAAGCGGTGCAGCGTTGCGCCTGAAAGAGCGCCAGCACAAGATGCTCTCTAGACACCGGCGCTCGGCCGCTAAGTCTGTCCTTCCACACCCAGCGAACTCGGAGTGCAACCCCTGCCTTTCTCAAGTCAGTGACACCGAGTCCACCTAGCACTTTGGGTCGGCACACCTTGAGCCAAGCCACCTTACATTTTCCTCCCGCCACAAAGTTGTTTGTGCCCATTAAATAAAAGCCCTCCGTAGCTTATCAATCATCTCAATTGCCCACGTTGAAAGACACAAGGCGATGGAAGTGTGTACAGGTATGGCCGAAAGGGTGGATTTGACAAGTTCCGTGCGTCCAGCAACATTTAGAAGATTACCTTTCCAAGCTGGTATTCTTGCAGCCACTTTATCAATGAGAGCCTGCTCATCCGCTCTCTTGAGCCGGTGCACCGAAAGTGGCACTCCCAGGTAGCGACATGGGAACGGTACTATCTTGCAAGCAAGAATGCGCTGCACTCTGTCCATATCTTCCTCGGAGCAGTGAATTGGTGTAGCCATACTTTTGTCGAGGTTGGAGAAGAGCCCAGAGGCAAGGCCGAAGATGGACAAGGCTCCTTTGATTGACAACAGATCATTCTCAGATGGGACTACAAAAATGACCAAGTCATCGGCATATAAACTGACTCTAGCCCCTGGAATTCCAGCTAGCGGTGTGAGGTAACCGTGTTCTTCGACCCAGGTCAGGAAGGTGTTGAGTACCTCCATGACCAAAACGAACAGCATCGGCGATAGAGGGTCTCCTTGCCGTAGCCCCCTAGCATGGCACACCCTCTGGCCTGGCTTGCCGTTGAGGAGAATCCTTGTGCTTGCCGTAGACAGAAGCATAGTCATCCAGTTCCTCCATCTCAGCCCAAAGCCCATATGCTGTAGCACCTCCAGAAGGAAAACCCATGCAACCGAATCAAACGCTTTGGCCACATCCACCTTGAGCAAAACACAGGTCATCTTTAATTTGTGCAAGGATTTGCACGTGAGTTGAACATCCCTAACATTGTCATGTATGCTTCGGCCCTTGATGAACGCACTCTGATTATTCCTGACTAGATCTCCTAGAACAGTCGCCAATCTGTTGGTCAGGCACTTCGTTATGAGCTTGCCAAAATTGTGCATAAGACTAATGGGACGATAGTCACAAATCTCGTTGGAGTGGTCTTTCTTCTTGAGTAGCACCATTAAAGCCTCGTTAACATCATGGAAGCTGCGGTGATCCAGCGACCAGAAAGCATGTAACGCGTTCATGATGTCCGATTTGATCACCTCCCACGCAAATTTGTAGAAGAGACCAGTTAGCCCATCAGGTCCGGGGGCCTTGTCATTCGACAGTTCCTTGACCACCCGTGTTACCTCTTCTTCAGTGAACATAACCTCCAAAGGCCGGGCATCCACAGACCGGACCCCCAAGGCGGCCAGGTCCAGCCTCCTGGACCGCACAAAATCTGTACCCAGGATCGAGTTGTAGTGGTCATACAAAGCATCTGCCATGGAGTTGTCAGAAACCACCTCAGTACCTTAAACAGTGTCTTGGACCGGGCTACCAATGGCAAGGTCAATGGCCCGATGGCCAGGTTCATCTGGGGATGGGCCTACTTACGGACTGAAAGGAGGCCCAGCAATACGAAGAGAAGCACCAAGCAATGCGAAGAGCAGCAGGCATTCAGCAATGCCCCTGTGTAGCTTCATCAGTTCAGTTCAGTTCAGGGAATCCATCTTTCTTTTTCAGTTCAGGATCAGTAACCAGAGTTTGAGCTGCCTCATTTTTGTACTTTCAGCTGGTCTGTAGCTTCTCTTCCGGTGCTTGGACTCTCTCAGCACCGATCCTTCCTGTGCCTCTTCTCCTAGTTTTGTCAGCTCTGATCTGGAGTTCGTTCAGTTTCTCGTGCTCCCTGCTAATGGTGAACGGACTACGTGTCTCAAGTGCGTGTTTCAGCGGCAGCTCTCAAGCTAAAAGTTGGATTGAATTTGCTAACCGTGAAACGTCTTTGTCCAGCTACAGTAGAAGTTTTTAAAAAAAATCAAAGGACGGTAAAAACTTTGCCGTGATTTCTATTAGACGAAAAAAAAAAAAAGGCAAGTGCCAGCCTAGTTTTTTAATGGAAACTAGGCCAGAAAAATCATACAATTGAGGAAAGTGCCCCACTCATCCTGCACAACTTTGATACAACTGTCACCACTCACACCACTACTTGCAACTTGGTCAAATCGACCCAAATAACAACTATCCAACTTACAACAACATGGCTGAAGGAAAATGAAACAACTAAGACACCTCAACTAGAATGGACAACTTGGAGAACCGATCACCATCACCCTTGGGGTAGCGCCATGACAGACGGCAAGAGGTCTACAGTGGAAACTGGATCGCCTAGCAAACACTAGTAGAGAATAGACTTTCGGTTTAAGGCTTTAGTCCCGGCCATTTTTGAGCCCGGGACTAAAGAAAAGATTAGTCCCGGTTGGAGCTACCAACCGAAACTAAAGTCCCATGCTCAACTGTTAGAGACATAGCTTTTGAAGGAGGGGACCTTTAGTCCCAGTTGGTGGCTCAAATCGGAACTAAAGGTCACCCTCCAGTCCCGGTTGGAGCTACCAACCGTGACTAAACCTTTAATTCCGGATGGTGGCTCTAACCGGAACTAGAATTGTACCTGTAGTCTAGGTTTATACAACAAACTGGGACTACATGTCCCGAGCTATATACTTTCTCCTTCTTCTTCTCCCAGCCCGAGCCATTTCAAGCTCTCTGCCTGCTCTCTGTTCTTGCTCATAGAAGGAGTTCATGCTTGCGGGATTAGTGAAGACTTCATTCCTCCATCCATTCTTCGGTTCTAAAGGTTATCAACTTCATCCTCCCATGTTTCATCACTAGCATGGCTCATTTCTTGGTATAAAAATAGAGAAATTTATGGTTTTTAGATTATGAATGATG